TGGGTGGTGTTTTTCAAATGTCTGCCTCCACAGGAGGTGAAAAGCCAGTGAAGGGCTCACGCAGGTGGGAAGGTTTCTGGAGGTGTAGAGGAGGATGCAGCTCCTAGAGCAGAAGATGAGCTGAGACTTTTGCACCCTTCATGTACAGCCTCCCCTGGTTAGCCTGTGGGAAACAGGGATGTGGGGAGAGATCCTCGGCCTCCTGAAGGCAAGAGGGACTTCTTCTGCTGGTTACAATGCAGCCAGGATCCCCCTGTGCTTTTTCTCCTCCCGTATAAATGATAAGCCAAGCACAGCAATCCACGCTGGAAGCAGAGAGCGACTGATGGGAGTGAAAATGGCTCCGTATTTGTTTTGCCAGCCAGCCTTTTCTTCTTATTTCAAATTTACCAAAAGTCAGGGAATTTGTTTGACTAATGGTTATGCTCGAGGGCTGATGTGTCACTAGAGTTAAGGGCAAGAATTAGAGAGGAAAACCTGCTTTGCATACCCGTTCCTAGCTGTGCATGTTGGATCAAAGCTTTTAACAGGGGTTTTGGCCAAGTGCTGTAAAACAAGCTCGTGAGGTCTTCTAAAAGGGGAGGCCAACAGAGACGGTCTGTCACAGTTTAAAGAAGGCATAAATGCCCCTCGAGTGCTTCCAGTCCCATTGCTGCAGAGCTCTCTCCTTTCCGGAGAAGAGAGAGTCAGAAACTAAATAAGAGGCATAACACTGAGACATAAATTCATTAAGAAAAAAAAGCTCACTTCTGTGGTATTCTCCACTTGCTTATGCGATAACCATGATTTAAAGCACCTGTATTTTAAGGTCACAGCCCATTTAAATGATGAAAGTAGGCTACAAAGAACACCAACAGAAAGGATAAGATGCTTTTCTGCAAAACCTCTGTCCCTGGTGTGTTGTGGCACCCCTTTTGGTCTTTGGTGTCTATGACTTAAACCTCATGGCAGTGCAGAAACTTGTCCTTTCGTTGGCCAGGATCACCTCCGTGGGAGGCAGCTGCTCCTGACCTGCTCCTTTTCCTCCTTCTCATCAATCTGATGGGACCTGGTTCGTCCCTTTCTCCCTAGGACCTCTAGTAACACTTAGAGAAGGTGTTTGATCAAGCATGAGGAACAAGCTTCTACTTTCTAACCGGTGCTCCCGCTTCCATTTCAGGTACGATGGCTGAAGAGACGGCACCGGGGGTCCGAGCGAGGTGGCAAGGTGCTCTCTATACCCTTTTCCCTGACCATTCAGTAATAAAACAGTTAGACCAGGTGGACATCTCCAATGGTCTGGATTGGTCCCTGGACCACAGGACCTTCTTTCACATCGACAGCCTGGCGTACGCTGTGCATGCCTTCAGCTATGATGTGCACACTGGAAAGATCGGTACGTGTGCTTTTCTACATTCGGTGACAAGTAGCGCTATGAGTCTTTCTGCAGCAAGACCCGGGCGTGTAAGACGCAGTGATTTATTTGACAGATCCCATATCTCCTGGTTACAGCTTGTCAGCAGGCTGACTGTGATTTTTCTCAAATTTAGTTACACATCAGGTGTATTTGGCGAACAAACCTTTGACAATCCCTCAACTTACTTTCATCTGGATAGATGGCTCATATTTAGACCCGTTCAAAGAGCTGCAGGGAAGAAGCCCTTTATACTGCAGAGTGAGAATTAGCTTACAGGATGCTGTTTATTCTGGAGGGCCATCTACTGGAATGCTTCGATTGCACCAGCTCCATAAATGCACATGCAGAATGTGCACGCACGCGTGTCAAGGAAATGTATTTAAAGAATCAAGTTATCGTTGTGACTGAGGTTTCCCAATTCTGAAATTAAAATTGCCTTCAGATGTTTGGCAAATTTCACTTCATTTTCTGGACAAACCTTTTTTTTATTATAGCTGCAAAAATGAAAATTGAAGTGCAAGCAAAATGGATGTAAGCTCATTTCAAAACTCTGAGAAAGATTTTTGTCCTGTATTAACCTGGTATTCTCCATGGGAATTTAAATGGCTGAACTGCCTTTGTACTCTAATGAGTGTGGCCTTTGTGTAATCATGGGTGAAAATCATACAAAATAATTACGTTCACTCAGATTTCATTTTGCTGAGAAAAGCTGTTTCTACAGATTTGAGGATATAAGATTGCTAAAGAAGATTTAATGCAACATCTTCCCTCCCAAATACAAAAATGTAATGAGTTTGAGTTTCCTAGCCTTGGCTTTATGCTGGTGACTGTCTGTTTTTGGGTGGTGTCGTGGCCATAAAGCGCTGGGTCAGCGCAGGCAGACCGCTGCCCGTGGGCACTGCTCCATGGACCATGCACGTGCCCACCAACCCATCTGCACCGCAGCCTAGACGGCTAGTGGTTGGTGTCCAGGCTTGATCAAAACTGGTAGCTGTGTTGGCCATTAAAAGGTAAAGTTCTTGATCTTTAGCTGGCAGAGATTGCTTATCACAAACATTTACACTCAAGTCATTATTTATGTGATGTGTTGCTCATAAAAAGACATCCAGGCTGCCATGAGCAATGAAAGCCCAGGAAAAGTCATTGCACCACTCGTGGTGTGGTGGGCAGCTGGTGGGTTAACGAGAGGGACAGGGGCATTTCGTTGTCTTCCCTTGGTAAAATAATAGGAGCCCTAATTCGGTACAATTCCAAACTCCAATGGCTCTACTAGGGGCTTGTTTCTGCCAGGCTAAGTTAGGCTTTTAACATATCTGCAAAATGCATATGTGATATACATTTTGTAGGATGTCTTTCTCACAGAAAATGAACTTATCTGTTTGCAAGAGCGTGGAAGGTGTTAGACCAGGATCCAATACAGAACTGGTACCATCCCATGTAACACCGGCTTCATAACTCTCCCTGCAGCCTGCCCCAAACTTTTGTACCATCTAGAACAGGAGGAGAAAATGCCCGATGGGATGTGTATAGACGCAGAAGGGAAGCTCTGGGTGGCCTGCATCGATGGTGGGAGAGTCATTCGTATAGATCCAGAGACAGGTAAGGCCTCCACCAACACGTGCATATTGAGTGTCACCTACATGCCACGAATGGGAGAGGAAAGGCAGCCAGGAGGAATGGTTTGAAGGTGAGATAAGGTGTTATTCATTGCCTGTTTCTGCCCCATGGGTTGCCATAAGCATCGCCGGTCCAGGCCCCGATCACGTGGAGGGCGCAGCTCCCCGGGCTGCCTCCCAGCATCGGGTACCGTGCTCCCGCGATCTGCTGATGCAACACACCCACTTCTTAATAATGCCACTAAAAAACCCCAACAATACACTGCATATCTTTGAAAGAAATATTATAAACCTGCAATTAAAAATAAAAAATTCTCAGTGTTGAAATGTTTAACTGGGAAATGTCATTAGGGAACGACAGCTATCCCAGGCCAGGTGTCTCTGCCTTTCCTGGCTTTGTGTGCTGTATTGCTTCATTTTGAGAAAAGGAAACAAAACAGCTATAGAGGAGAGACTGAAAAATAGTTAGAGATGAGGCAGATGAAAGACTTTGATTTCCCCACAAACTGTCCTTTAGGACATGGCTTCTGTCTGAAGGGGAGATGCCTTCAAAGTAAATGCCACATCCATACCACGTGCACTAATAGTGCGTTCCTATTTACATGCTTCCTAAAAAATGGACATTAGGAAACAATTGCACATTTTTCCCAGGAAAAAGAATCCAAACTGTGAGGCTGCCTACTCCAAGGATCACTTCTTGCTGCTTTGGTGGAAAAGACTACTCAGAAATGTACGTGACTTCTGCATACGATGGACTGGATGAGACCACCTTAGCCAAGGAACCTCACGCCGGAGAGATTTTCAAGGTGAGCAGGTTTTCTTTCTTTCTATACATCAGACCTGCTAAGCCTCGTGCTCTGCGAGCGCGGTGCCCCGGCTGCCCTCACTCATCCCGCTCACCTGGCGTGCTGGTCCAGACACATTTCTTGTTCCCGGCCGGGCACAGCTGGTTTTGCAGAGCTGCTTATGCATTTGGAAGGAAGATTTGGAGAAACTGCTAGTAATAGTGTTGATATGTTGGTTAGCTGAAGTTGGTATCTGGTCGGGACCTGAAGGCAGCCGGTGGATCTGGATCTGCCCTGTGTTAGCATATTCTGTAATACACTGTAAGGAATTGGGTCTTGCTCCTGTCTCTTACTGTATTTTCATCAGTTTCGGAAATTTCACTTCCTTAATTCTCGGTTTTTAATTGTGCCAGGAAATCTAAATCTTTGCAGCACGGATTGCTTCTTTAAAAATTAAATGCTTAAATTCACCAGGGCAAAATTTTGCATCCCAATCCCAAAACTTCAGGGATTTTTTTAGTCTGTTAAAAGTGGTTGCTACATTTTGAGAAACTAGCAATCCACGTGTTTGTCCAGGGCTCTTGAATCTGAAACTTGTTTCTCTTCATTTTTCAGTCCATTAGCAAAAAGTACATCAGGAGAATAAAATGCAGTTCTTAATCAGTAATTGCCATCATTCTCTGAAAGTTGACCACAGTGTGAAAGCAAAGGGAAACGAAATGAAATTAAAAAAAACCAAAAACAACCTAAATAAACTCTATTATCAGTTTGGCAATAGGACATAGATATGTTCCAGGAGGGATGGAGATCTAGTTGGGGATATGGGACCTTCTAGTTGAAAGCAGTGCATGGAGCAGAATTCTCATGGCTGAGAACTGATAGATTTCTCAAGCAGTGGAGTTTAGGAGCCCACAGGAGAATTAAATGAGCCTTGCCTTTTTGTCTCTGTTCCTCGGTTCTCTGGTTCTAGAAGGGAACTGGTATTTTCCAAACTCACATTTGTCTTGCATGGGTAAAGCACATTAAAAGCTACTATGACTTGTTTAGTTAATATGGAGATAAGGACCACATGTAAGGTCCACAGATAATGTGTAACTTAGCAAAGTTATTGAGTGGTGCTTGATGATCTTAAAGACCTTAATCTTAAAGCCTTCTAAAGAACTTAATGTAATGACTCTTTTTGGGCTCCTCTTGAAGCAGGGAACCCTCCACGCAGGGGTAGGTAGGTTGTTATGGTATTTGTTGTACAACATTTGAATGTTTTCATTGTACTCAGTCAGAGATTTATCTGTTCCCTTTCTTTTATTTTTAATTTTTTTTTAAACAGGTAACAGGCCTGGGTGTGAAAGGGATCCCACAGAATTTCTATGCTGCTTGAACGGTGACACTAAATAACAAAGAAGAAATGCTTGCATCTTGTAATAACTCTGACAGGGAGAAGTCCAGTGAACTACAGAATTTATCTTTGTGAGGATTTCTAGACCCACATTTGAGAGCATCCTTGTTTGGAATTGAAGATACTCCTTCTTCTATGGGCCCATGGCTTGATGCAATAGGTTAGAGAGGTAAAGTTAATCTGTGTTACACCTTGATAGCTTTTGTGACTTTCTATAAGCCTCTTCAAGTTTGAGCTTAGTTTTACTGAACTTTCTGATGACCAGCCCTGGATTTTCAAGACTGTTTGGTTCCCAAAGCAGAATTTGACTCCTGGTTTGTCTCTTCATGTTACAGTGATGTACCAGCAATGATACGGCAGATTTTACTAAACATTTTAAGTGATGACTTGAACTGGACTGCTCCTCTGTTGTGGGACTGCCCCCGAGGTGTTTTCTTGGTGATCAGACCTATTTGTAGTATCAGTCCATTTTTATGTCCTTGCTAGCCTGTTTCCATTTGCCTTGTCATGAATTCTATCTTGTCTTTAGGACACCGTTTATACTGCTGAAAAGAAACTATGCAACCATATTTAAAATATACTTACAGATTTTTTTTTTTTCCCTGCATTCAGATATTACCCCACACAGTCAGGGTACAAACAGGCTGTGAGCTACCAGAATGGCCTGTGATACCAAAAATGGATGCTCCATAGAGTCGTCCTCTCAGGGGTCATATTTGCACCAATATGCATGGATTTCCCTTTGCTTTACATATCTTCTTATTGCATGCATGGCTTCACGTTCTTATTCCCCTTCTTATAACGCTCTTCTTCTCCTATTTCAAGTATTTTTCTCCTTTTTCCCTTTCCCCTTCAGATTTTGTTTTTCTTTTCTCTTCCCCCTGAGCTTCTTTTTCAGAGTAATCTTACCTTTTGTCAGTTTTCTTCTGTCTCTTTGGGGTCCACGTTGCTCAGAATTGAGTTTGAAGTCCCTGTCCCTGCCTTCAATGCTGTATGTATCTGCCCAGGTTTCTCGCTGCATTGCCCTCACCTCTTTCTTCCCTGGAAGAGCAAATCTGGCCCATCAACATTTCTCCCTTTGCCCAAACTGTGCAGGGTTTTCTCCCACACCAATGACTACACCAAAGCTGACCCTTGACTTTGGGGTTTCCCCAAAGGCCTCAGCATACCTGCAGTCAGCCAGGTCCTGTCCAAAAGCTGGCCAGATGAGTGGGCGAGCAATGGAAGTGGAGAAGTTGTTCACCTCTTCTTGTTGCTTCTATGCATGATCTGCAGAGAGGGCAGAAATAGCATCTTGCACATCAGTAAATGAAAGGCACTTTGGAAAATGCTGGCAGACGAGCCTGTGTGAAAACAGAGATTGCTGTGGAAGGGGTCTCTCGGCGTTTCCTGGCTTTGTGCAAACCTGGGCTCCGACGAGGCTCTCCTTGCCTCCTACAACTCCATGTGACTTTCCGTTCATTTCCCGTTCGTTATACCACAGCGCTGCAGAAAGCACAATGTCAAGGTGTATTTTTAGAGGCTATTTAAGTAACAACCCCAAACTATGCTGGATTCACTGAACTATTGTGATCCTTTCATTATCTGAGAATGCTGGAGGCTTGTAGATATCCAGTGAAATCCAGCGTTTGCATTGAATTTGCTGTCTTTTTATTGCCTGGGAAGACACAGAGCACATAATACATTTTCAGGTCCTTAATGCTAACACTTTGTGATGTTACAAAGAAGTCAATAATACTCATCATCTACCAGACCAGATGTTTCAGTGTCTTTCTCTGAGGTATTTGGCCTTTCCACCACTGCTATCCAAAGCCTTGAGTTAGCCCTCAGACAGTACGAGCAGGGAGTAAGTACTCAATGCCTCGTGAGGATAATCTCTCACAATAACCCACGCATGGCGGAACAGACAAACTGTGGTTAGCCATGCAGAAATGCTAAACACAGTTTCCACGGGACTGTATGTGGATTGCCCTTAGAATTAGCTGTTTTCTCCAGAACCAGCATCCTTCTCCTGGCCAGGGGTCCCTCATAGCAGTTTTGAAAGAGCAAAGCTGAATTGATTTCTTCCTTTTAAAATATCCATGATGCCCAACTCTTTTCTGTGGTAGCCTTCTGGCCTGCTGACAAGCAGGAGATCTGGTTCTGAGCTCTGATCAGGCAGACGGCAGGACAAACCATTGTCCCAGGACAATGTTCTACCCATTTTAAAGAGGGATGTGACACGGGAAAGGTTAGGTGGTATATTTGGCTCCTCCAGTTGAACTGGGCAACAGTCCAGAAACAAATTTGAGATCCAAGGGGCCAAGAAGGGAGCTTTATTCACTGGGCACTGCTGAGTGTACTTGGCCATTGAACAGGAATTTCCAAAGCGCATTATTTCAATGCAGTTACTTGAAGTCTACTGTAAAACCCATGTTAGGTACTTTTCAGACATTTATTCCAGATGATTACTTTAGGTCATTAGCAAGCACTTTCCTCCTGTGCTACTTGCCCAGGTAATTGGTAAAACAGAATAAAGGCTCTTGACCCATTGCTTTGCTTCACTCCTACCTTGCCCTGGAAGGGAGGTGAGTCCATAGAGCTGCACAAGGACAGCTTGATAGAGAAATAAAATGTTCAGCTCATTCTAATGTTTGGTCAACAACTGGGCTGTTGTTTTTCTTCCCCTAGTTGTAATTCCAATAGTAATTAAGCTGCTGGGGTTTCTTAAGAACAAAGGTGTTAAATGCTCTTTGGCACCATGTCAATGCCAAACTGGTATAAGGAACATTGACAATTATGCAAGATTTCCTGTTTACCCCATCTGGAGAGGAATGTGAAGGCAAGATGTGGGAGGCACGTCAAGTGTCCTAACCTTTAATTAAAAAAAAATGTAGGAAGTATGTGCAAATATCTTGTTTAATAAAAAATACCCAATTATTTGCAAAATTGCCAATCCACTAGGCTATTCGCTCTGCCAGAAAAGGAAAGTAGATAATTTTGAAACAATTTGCATTTGAGAAATGCTTAATACCTTCAAAATATTTTTTTAGATCTTCCCCAGCCATGCAAGCCAGGCTCACTGGCTTGTAATTCTTCAGCCATTCCTTCCTCCATCTCTCAAGGGAGATGCCGTGCGTGCTGCTCTCAGACTCCAAGGTCTGAGTGCTTTGGGATCTCTCTTGCTGGAGCATGGCTTCCCCAAACTAAAGAAAGGTTTGAAGATGAATTTCTCTCTGTTATTCGAAGGCCCACTACTTCACTTCTCTTCAGATTTCAGAAGTTGCTGTTTTGTGATTTTGCTTCCTAATAAAAAGTGTTGATTGAAAACTACGGTGGGACTATTCTCCAGCCTCGTTAAGCAAAGTGAGGCAAAGGCCCTTTGCCTAGAGCAGGATGAAGGCACGAAGGAAAGGGGTATGGGACTGGGTTCATTCCCTTTGTGCGTGTAGGGGGCAATA